TATGAAAGCTCTGAAAGTGTCGTAATCACATTTGACGGTCAAATTCTTCCCTCGAGGGTTTATTTATGCTATTCTTCCATTCCTGTTGAAATTTATAAGCTTCCAACGATCCAATGCTTTCAGTGCTGCAGATTTGGTCATACTAAAGATTTATGTCGTTCCAAGCCAAGATGCTCAAAATGTGGAGGTGATCACTCCTCTTCTTCTTGCGACAAAGATAATGGATCTTTTCGTTGCTTATTTTGCTCAGGTAACCACAAAGCCACAGATTCTAGATGTCCTGAACACACAAGACAAAATAATATTAAAATTGAAATGGCACAAAAGTCTATCTCATACCTAGAAGCATCTCAAAAATATCCACAAGTTTCTTCAAAATCATATGCTGATGTTTTGATTTCTAAATTCCCTGAAAATTCTTCGCTTTCTACTAATCCTACAGTGAATAATTTTCCTTCCAACCCCGCTACATCTAATAAAACTTCTTATAAGAAAACATTATATATTCCTAAACCATTACGTCACCATTCACAAACAGGATACGACAAAAAAAGTCATCAAAAAATTATTGAAGATTTTTCAATTCCGCAACCTGAGGATGGTTGTGCTCTTCGGGTTTCACCAGTTACTTCACAGGGTAATTTTGATTCTGTAGAAAGCATTATAAGTTTCCTTATTAACATAATCATATCTTCGTATTCGTCGAAACTACCGTCCCACGTTGCTCGCTTACTAAATTCTATACCTAAAATTCTCCAAGACATTCACTCTCACAAAGATCCTTCAATGGAATTGTAGAAGCATTTTAGATAAACGTACTGAAATAATCTATTTATTAAAGAAATACAGTGTGTGTATCGCTGCTATTTCAGAGACATGGCTAAAACCGGATTCGAATATCAGAGTACCTGGTTTTTGTCTTGTTCGAAGTGACAGATCTGATGGTTATGCCGGATGTGCTTTGCTTATAAAAAATAATATAACTTATTCCATTATAGATGTTTATGATGAAATATTTGACTTTAATATTGTAGCAGTAAGAATTCAAAATATAACTTTCGTTTCTATTTATGTTCCCTCCCCTTCTGTCCATACGTTTCGCAGAATAAAATCTTTAATAGCCTCCTTACCCAAACCATTTATAATTCTTGGTGACTTTAATTGTCATCATTATTTATGGGGTGATAATACTGATAAATACGGTAGTTTATTAGTTGATATAATTGACGAACTTAATATTTGTGTCCTTAATACTGGTAAAATTACCAAACGCTCTCGTCCTAATGAGTCTAGAAGTGCTGTAGATTTATCAATTTGTACTCCTGATTTAACCACTCTTCTAAATTGGTCAGTTCTAGATAGCTCTCACGGCAGTGACCATTTTCCCATTCTGATTTCCTTTCCAAACAAAGAATTGGCAGAAATTAACAAAAAACCATGTATTAAATACAAATTAGACAGAGCAGACTGGAACCTGTACAATATTTTTCTTTACAATGAAATTCTAAAAATCGCTCCTATTTCTGAAAATAATATAACTTCTATTGTTGAAGCATTTACAAACGCAGTTATAAATGCAGCAGATCAAACAATTCCTGTTAAATCTCTAAATAATAAATGTAGGCCCTCCCCTCCATGGTGGGATTCTGAATGTTCTGAGGCCATTCGTAATAGGAAAAAAGCCGAAAAACAATATAAATTAGACATGAGTTCGGAAAACTATTCATACCTTCAACGTGTACAAGAAGTGACTAAAAATACTCTTCGCACAAAAAAACAAACACGTTGGCATGCCTTTTGTTCCTCAATTTCTCCTTCAATACCTTCATCAGTTGTTTGGCGTAATATTAGAAAATTTCGCTGTTGTTTTTCATCTTGTTCTTACGGTGGTGCCATTCCCTCTCAATCTATAAACACTTTTCTAGATAAACTTGCCCCCTCTTCTGCTCCTTTGAGGGAGGAGCTACCTCAAAGTATTCCATGTGATTCTTTTTTTGATCCCTTAGAGCGTCCATTTTCTTTATATGAATTAAAGCTCGTCCTTTCTCACGTTCAAGATTCAGCTCCTGGTTTAGACGGTATTCCATATTCACTACTTGCCAAATGTAATGATCAAATTTTATCCTATTATTTAAATATCATTAACGTTTTGTTTGACATAGGCTTTGTTCCTGACTGTTGGCGGACTCATGTAATTATTCCTATCTTGAAACCTAACAAAAATCCTAACGACGGCTCTTCTTATAGACCGATCGCTCTATCCTCAACTCTAATTAAAACCTTTGAACATATGATCAAGAACCGTCTTGAATGGTATGTAGAAAGTCATGGATTGTTATCAAATTCCCAATATGGATTCAGAAAAGGTAAAAGCACATATGACAGTCTCTCTATCTTCACCACAGATATTAGACTAGCATTTTCGAGAAATGAATCGGTCCTTGCTGCTTTCCTTGATATTTCTTCTGCTTACGATAATGTCAGACTCAACATCCTTAGAGAAAAGATGTTTAAGCTTAATATATCCAAAAAACTTACAAATTTGATTATCAATTTATTTCTAGATCGATATATACATATTAAAATTGATGATGATCTAAAATATACTCGAAAGGTTTTTAAAGGCCTTCCACAAGGCTCTGTTTTAAGTCCTTTATTATACAATATTTATACGTCAGATTTGGACCAGTCTATTTCAAAGTGTAGAATTTTGCAATATGCTGATGATATCTTAGTTTATGTTAACGATAAATGTATAGAATCTTGTGCTAATGCGATAGAACAAGATCTCCTCTCTATGGCCTCTTGGTTAGATGATCATGGGCTAGAACTTTCCCCAAATAAAAGTAATACAGTAATTTTTTCTCGCAAAAGAGTTTTACCTGAAATCCAAGTTCGCCTTTTTGATTATCCGCTCGTAAATATTCAACAAGTTAAATTCCTTGGTGTAATTCTTGATAATAAATTATCCGGCATGCCTCATATAATTTATACCCAAAAAAAATGCGAAAAAAATATAAACATTCTTAGAGCTTTGTGCGGGGTATGGTGGGGCGCTCATCCATATTATTTAAAATTAATTTATAATGCAATTATAAGAAGCCGATTAGATTATGCCTCATTTCTTCTTGAACCAACTAGTAAAAAAGGATTAAAAATATTAGATATCATTCAACACAAGTCTTTAAGATTAATTATAGGCGCTATGAATTCGTCGCCTATCAATGCCTTGCAGATTGAATGCGGTGATCCTCCACTTTTTATTAGACGACAATATTTATCGGATTCCTTTTTTTATCGGGTTCTTCAATTTTCAAACCATCCATTACTACCTAAAATTCGTTTGCTTTCTCAGTACATTTCAATTAATTCAGGAAAATACTGGCGTAATAAAGAAACTCCTAACCTAGTTAAAAGCTATGAACATTATAATTCCTTACTAGATCCTATTTATAGGTCGGCGACTCTGCCTCTTTTCTCCAATTCGTTTGAAGTTGCACTTTTCAAACCCAATGTTATATTAGATATAGGATTAAATAAATTTTCTATTGAATCAAATAAAAGATTTGTATTTACGTTGGACAAGAATTTTCCAGATTGTCATTATATTTTTACAGATGCTTCTAAGACTAACTCAAAAGGTTGTACTGGATATGCAATATACCATCAAAATTGGAGAATAGTTCAAAAAATGAAAAGTCCTCCCGAATCTTCAGTTTTTACTGGAGAAATGTTAGCCATTTTACAATCAATAAAATATTGCTATCTTTTTAAATTAAAATCAAGCGTGATATTTTCAGATTCTCTTAGTTCTTTACAAGCATTGTTATGTAATCCTTTCTATGACATTTCCGGCAATCCTTTGATATTTGAAATTAAGAAACTTCTATTCTTATACCAATTTCAAAACATCAACATTTCTCTCGTTTGGATTCCGAGTCATATTGGTATATCTGGTAATGAATATGCTGACAAACTTGCTAAACAAGCTATAGTCTGTGGGGATACTTTCTTATTTAAAAATTATTGCTATGACCTTATAAGAACTACGAAATTAGTATATAGAGATAGATGGTCAAAACATTGGAACAAAACCAAAACGACAAAAGGCTGTCACTATGCCAAAATTCAACCCATCATTCCTTCTAAGCCTTGGTTTTATAAATTATCCTTAAATAAGAAATATTCATCAATGTTATGTAGAATGCGCTTGGGTCACTGCTGTAATTCGGTTCACCTTGCTAGGCTTCATATTAAAAATTCTTCAATATGTGAATGTGGTTTGGATATTGGTGACCTCAACCATATTTTCTTCTCGTGTCCGTTATATGATCATACTTCATTATTTAACACTTTGGTAAATCTTAAAATTCCTCTTCCTACAGAAATTTGTTCTCTTTTAATTTTTTCTAAAAAAAGTAAAAATGTTTTCAATTGTCTTATGGAATTTTTAGATTTAAATAATATTAGATTGTAAAATTTTATTCATTATTTAGCTATCAATCGTCTTTATTTAGTAATACTGATTATTTTTAATGTGGTATTGAGTTTAGTATTATTTTAATTCAACCTAATATCCATCATTTATTTAATATACTTCAGTTCAAGTCATTTCATGATTCATTATTATAGTATTCTATGGTTCTTAACATTATGATTTTGGTTTTTAATCAGAATCGTAGTTTCTCTTTAGATTGTCCGTCGTTTCGTTTCAAGTTACAAGTATTTTTATTGACTGGAGGTTGGCAGTAATTGTTAGGTTGCCATATAAAAAAAAAAAAAAAAAAAAAAAATACTTTCCTCTATGCAGGCAGCACAGCAGGCATTTAAATTAGGCACATTTAGGTTAGGTACTTACTTACTGTATATGGAATATTTTTACTAATCGTAAAAAGTGATATTTCTCATATTGAAAACATTGAAAACTACGAAAAGAATACAAGGATTAATTAAACCCAACAACAATTCACGTCGTCAAAATTTGAAAAGATATATCAGAAATGCCAGCAAGCAGTATTGACTTATTTCACATGCAAGACGCCAAAAATAATTTTAATGCCATGCGACCTGCCCCGATTTATAGTGATCCTACAAACGAGTTGATGGGTCACTGTCAGAATGTACATATATCTAGAAACTGCTATTATGGATACCATGATGCCAAAACTTCTGAAAGCGCTTACGAAACTACTGACAGCGAGATGAAGGAAGTACATCAAGAAACAGCATCCTTACAGAAAAATACAAAGAAGCGATGTGCAGACTATTGCGCTTACACTCAAAGCAAGCGGCTGCGAAAAGGTAATAATTATTATTTTTTTACGCATCCTCATTGAATATAATATTGTACTTGTACTATATGTGACGTTGATGACGCATACATAAATAATGTTCTATGCATGTATATAGGTGTATATTTTTTGAAATACATGTTTTGCTGTCGAAATTCAGTTCTATCATGACCTAAATTTGCAGCAATGCAGCAGGAATATTGTGTAGTCACTATGTGTACATTCTTGTAATATTCAGGAAGTCTCACTATTAAAAATTATAACAAACATAAAACCTACTTCAAAGTTTTGTTGCAATTTCATATAGTGTATTGTTCTGTTGATTGATTTGTATTTACTTTTTTAATACTGTGAATGCACTTGATACACCTGTTGCATTGAAAAGTTTAATAAGAAAATATTATAAGCTATTTGTATTAGGTAACCTGAAGCCCGTGATGACTGGTATTTAATGAAGTAGAGCATAATTTATAGCAGTGGACATATATTTATATAGTTATATATAGGACATATATAGTAGCACACAATAATAGTATCTGATGTATTATGATTCCTTATGTTTATGCCAACATTATACATTTAAATAAAACTATTTTTTACAGATTTTATGGCATATTCTAACTTGTTTTATATTCCCAAAGTTTCGAGTACTTTACAGCACCTATAGTCAAAAAATTACATTGTTTCATTTACCACTATTGAGTTTAAGGGCAACTTTACTAAAACTGAACCTACATGCCCTGACTCCATGTAGTCTTCTGGCCTACCCTTAGTGTTTTTGTAAACCCGTTAAAACGGAAGAGCAGCCCCCACCCGCTGTTACAAATCACATGGGTGCCTCAGATATGCTACACAAGGGTGAACAGGCTGCACAAGATGATTGTAATCCCAATGTCTCGTAGTTTTAAGGCTACCTTCAGTTTAAAATTATTAATTTTTGGTCCGATGTAAACAGAATAAGCTTAAAGTATCTTGAAGTCTTGCAGTTAGTTGTATGCTTGGGTTGGGATTTAATTTTATTAATTATAGGGTCCCAAGTAGATGGTAGCACCCAGCCATTTTATCTATTGAAATTAGGATGATTTTTGATTGGATGGATTTTTTTAATGGAAGGAATCAGAGAATGAGGATATATGTTCTATCTAATGTAGTGGTGGGGGTGGTCCTGTACATGTTCACAGACTGCAGACTTCCTGGAACATTTTTTTTCATCAGCTTTATTTTCTTTTATGTGGGTTTTTACTGATCTTTTAGTTTGTCCTTTGTAAGAGAGACCACATCACAATCAAGCTTGTATACTTATGCACCTTGCAAAGGTATATTACGCTTGACTGATGGTAATAACTGACTAATCTTCTTAGGCTGTTTGTAGTACGTTTCAATAGAAGCACTCTTCAAGATGTAGCCAATTTTGTCAGCGACACCTCTGACATATGGCAGTAAAGTAAGCACATGCTTCACTCAATGTGTTATCAGGATTCCGAATTACTAATACATCTAGAAAAGCTAAAGAATTATTTGCCTTTAAATCCATTGTGTAAGAGTTAAGATGGTCTAAAAATGCAGTAACTTTTATCTGAAGATAGACGACTCTGACTCCGTGGCGTAGTGGCTTAGCAATGAGTGGCTCCGCTGGGGGTCGTGGGTTCGAATCCCACACGGAGCAAGTATTTGTATGGCCTACAAATAACTGGAAGGATCTGGATGTTTGTCCTTGTGCAATTTATGTTTGTAAACTGCCTCCACGATTCAGGAGAAAATCCTAGTGTAGGGGTAATGTTTTTAAAAAAGAAACGAAATAAATCCTACTAACTTTATAGACAAGATGGTTGATGATGAATGGTGCTACCATCTACTTTAGATCAATCATACAACTGCAAGACTTCAAGATACCTACTATAAGTTCATTCTGCATCGATTGGACCGAAAATCAATAATTTTAAACTGAGAGTATCTGTTGTTAGCTGTGACAGTGGAATGTCGACCACCTCAGTTCCTCATAACTATGGATGCTATAACATATTCGCAACGTCAGATATAAAAAAAGTTAATATATGCAACAAAACCCATAGAAACTAGTTTTATTTGTATCTGATGTCAATTTATTACACCTTTGAGTATACATAAGCAAGCTATAGGGCACAGATATCGCTATTGTCCATTATGCAAAGTGTAAGCAGATTTTCTATAGATACTGATGTATAGAGTGGTTGAAGATGATGTACCAAGATTTACAACTAGTAATATTTACTGTAGTTGGGTAATTATACCTGCAAGAGAAACAATCAGCAAGTGTGTGGCTAATAGCGTCATCCTTGCAATTGCGTGACCATTCATACTTGCTAACGCATGCTCTATAGCTTGCTTATGCTCTAAGGATTACATCCTTTGCTTTGGCACAAAAAGTCCGATCATGATTTTACAAGAAATACATGTAATTTTGCCTCCCTTCTCTCTACTCTCAATGTTGTCTAACATTAAGAAAATTTGTAAAAGAGGGACTACAATTGGGGTTAGGTTGAATTTTGAGTTCCAGACAATATTGGTGAGATTTTATGCAGATTTATGTGTTAACCATTTATTAAGTACGTAGATATATGATTATTTGGTACTGCAACAAATTATTACGAGAGTAATTGAGCATCAGTATTAGTGTTTCTGTGTCATGCATACGTAATTATAAAATACATTTCATACTATTGACCAGACTTAAAAATGCTTACTGCACATTTGAAGGTTACTGCTAATAATCTGTGCTCTTATAATTTTTTCTTGTTTTGTGTTTTACTTACAGATAGTTTTAGAATAGTGTCAAATATTCATTGCAAGGTAAGTCAAGTGCATTTTGCAGTAATTAGTTTTCTAATAAATTGCAAAATTATTTTATAAGTATATGTAGTATAAAATGTATTTAGATTGTTTTGTTAAAATGTGGTAATATTCAAATAGAAGTGGATTTAAATTATATCTAAGGAAAATGTAAACATATCTGTGGCCTATACTGGGTCATACATACACACAAGTGTATGTCAGTCAAGTTGACACAATTTACACCAATCATTTTGAGCTACTTTTGAACTCCTAATAACTGAAAAATTATTAGACAAGTGTGAGTCTTGTAATTTTGCTTGTCTAATGAAGCCCCCCTTAGAATACCTAGATTCCCAAATTTCAGGAATTATTAAATATTTTACTACACTGTACATAACTATTAAATCTATACATGTAAATAAAATTGAAGTATCTGTCTGTAATATCAAAATTACTGTATATTGAGGTGAGGTGTTCTTTGCAAGTGATTAAGACATGAAATTTTGTCAGTCTGGCCTAATCTTCATAATGGCTAAACCTATTGTAATGAATCTTCATGAAAAGAGAGAGTAATGCCAGGAGTGACCGAGGCTATATTTTATCTGGAAGCTTGGGGATTTAAAAAAACAATATTTTGTTTTATTGTTAAAATAAATGGTCTCTGATTACCTTAAATCTAAATAACACCACATTATAGATCCTACCCAATGTAGAAGAAGCACATAAAGACGTTGGTCCTGTGCCTGATCTATCTCTGTGGTCGTATTGGTTTACCATCCCATCTGATTATGAGTTAGGGAATAGAGAGTGCACCTGTGCTTCCTCATACACTTGGGCATTATAATCATGTCCTGCGCCGATGGCTAGTCTCCGTTAAGACTGGCTGCCGACCGAAATTAGTTTTTGAGGACATTATTATTGCAGAATTTAAAAGTTTTGTTTTAGTATATCTCATAGTTTTGACAGACAATGATTTCGGCCTAGGAGCTTAATAATTTTATTACAGGACTGTAAAACTAGAAGAGGCACCGTTGAATACAATGACTGATGACAACATATTCCAGTAATTATGTGATAACATTTCCTTAAATACCAACAAAGATATTCTTTCGTACGATATTACAGCACATGATAAATCATTTATGTTATCATTCTGTACTAAGATTTAGGAAAATTTAGAAATAAAATTACCAGTTTTAAAACTGCTTAAAACATAGTTTTTAAACTGGTAAAATTTAAAAACCGCTTTAGTTCAGGGGAATAACCGCTTGGTGTAAATACCACAGTACGCAAGCAGTCCGAGTTCCTTCCCCGCCGCAACCGATGAAATTGTTAATAGCAATTTTTTTTATATGTTAAGTATATAACATTACATAGTTGTAACAAGAATGGGTTCGGCACGTCCGTGGAAGGACCTCGCTTTAACAGTATCAAATCAAAGTCCTGTAACAGAGTCAAATCATCTTTCTTGCATAAAAATCAATAAAATTTGTTTATTAGCTGCTAGTTTTTATAATTATTTATACTTGCGGTTGTGGACACTTGGTGAAACTTCATCTTTATTTTTGGGACTTAACTAATTAAGCACTTGTACTTGTTTTACAATAAACCAATTCACAAAAATTTATAATATTCGTTTTTGCAGAGGGTGAATGCGTTTTAAGCCAGTTCATAAAACTAGAAGGTTCTATATTCGACCCCTTTTTTTAATGAACATTCACCAATTTCTTGGTAATGGTTGAACCGATTTACATGACTCCATTTTTATTAAATAGACTAGCTGTTCTTCGCAACTTCGTCCGCATGGAATTTGTTACTATTGGATTTCATGAGTTTTAATTTGTTTTTGCACGAAACCCTAATTATTTAAAAAAAATAAGTAGCCTAAGTCACTCCTTATAAACATCAGCTATCCACCAGTGAAAGACCCGCTAATATTGGTACAGCCATTTTACAGATTAGCCGAAACAAACAGACAGACAGAAATTTTAAGTTGATTTTTGATTATAAGTACTTTATATACTTTTATATGTATTAAGTAAAAAGCTGTTATTTTGACAGTACAAACAGACATTTCAATTTTATTCATTTTTAAATAAATTAAATAGATGATAATTTAGGAATCAACCCTGAAATATATCCATATAGATTTAAACAAAAAAAAAACTCATGCGAAAAGGTGGAAAAATAGGGGATAAAGATTTTAATGTAGGTGAATACATAAAAGAAATTCTAGTTATTTTGAACTTGTTATATTCCTCAGACCACTCGAAACGGTTAATGTGTGTTTATTATTTGTGTTAACTGTTTTCTTGGAAATGGTTGAACCAATTTAAATGATTCCGTTTTTCTTATCTAGGTTAATACTTCAGGGGTGGTCCCATATGCATATAATTTTAAAGAAAAAAATTATTCCTAAGGGTTGCAAAAGTAAGCTAAGCTTGTGTATCAATTTAGATGCTCATTATATATTTAAAGGATATAAATTGAAATTAAATAATATAATTAAAAGAGGATATCCTGAGTGACTCGTCTATTAATGCACAGCCCAAACTGCTAGACATAGAAAACGAATTTTTTTTTTTAGAATAAGGGTGACAAGCAAGCACACAGCCCACTTGATGGTAAGTGGATACTGATGGCCCATAGACATCTACATCAATCCTCGATTAAGACTCTAAATGCAGTTACGACGTTACCCCTGAGCACCAAGATATAATGCTTCCTATCCAGTTAAAAGGTTCTCCGGTTCTCTACCCCTCAACATACAAAATACAGCAGCATTGAGCTGCTATTTTACTGTGGTATTCTGTGAGGTTTGAACAGTAGCTGCCTAGGCGTATAACGTAGGCAATCCACTAGGAAGCAAATTTGCCCGGATTGAACTATATATATAAAATTGAACCGAAATCACTTTACTGTCACAAGAAAATTTTCAGAAAAATATACACAAGTGCAGACGTGGTAGAGCCAAGCTGCAGCCACATTAGTGGTACGAATGGGTCAGATTGACCGGGGAAGGACGCTGCTGTGTTTCATATGTTGAGTGTAGAGAACCGGAGACCTTTTACTGGAAACGAGGCATTCATATTAGTCCCCACGGGTAACAACGCATCTGCATTTTGATTCATAATCGAGTGTTGCAGATGTCTATAGGCCACAGCAACCTTTTGCCATCAGGTGGACTCTGTGCTTGTTTGTCCACCCCTTATCCTATAAGATATGTAGCCGCAATTTTACCTTTATTTGAAAAGATAATTAAAATCGATCCAGTTTTGCATCTGAAAACAGTGGAATATGGTATTTAATTTTTCATAGATAGTCGTAAGTGGTCTGGGCTGCAGTTGTCACTCTCGGTTGTTTAGCTTGGTCACTCGGGCTTAGCGCGACAGCAATAGATGCAGTACTTCAACATTTTTTTTTACTTTGAGTGTGTAAATTTACTGAAATGTATTTATTGTGCAATAAAAAAATCATTTCATAAAAATGTTCCATATGGGTAAGTGATTTGCAATGACAGAAACTCAAATAATAACTGACTCGATACAGAAAAAATTAAAATATGACAAATCTACAGAATCGCTTACAAATTTACCTATTAAAACTGTAGAAGCTATTTAAATGAAAAGCCTTATTATTGTTAGATCATGTTTAGAACACATTTTATAAATTATTTTTTATTTTATCTCATGAAAAAAGAAACAAAATCAAGCAATTTGGTTGCTAAACAAAAAACTAAATTCATAGGAGATATATAAAAGAAAATTTGGTACCTGATAGTGTCATATCAAGTAATGTTCAGGGATAGCAAACCTTTACGCATGTTGCAAATATTGCCAAATTTCTTAAAAAAATAATTTTGTGTGTCCAAATCTAAACAAGATTTAATTTTGCATGTTAATTAAACCTTAAATTTTCTTTTTTTATATGCCATACGACACATGTTAAAGGTTTGTAATTGCTGCTCGTGATAATGAGTCAGAAAGCAAATTATTGTAATGCTTGAAGTGTTTGAAATGGCAACAAAACTTAATCTGAGGCTTCCTTTTTGAAGCACATGCAAAGATAGTGATGAAGTTCGACTTTATTTCAGAGGGTATGGTGCCAACGACAGCCACCCACAACCCAAGTTTACTGCGACCTACTCACAACAATCCAGATATATCTCGTTGTCTCATGGTCCACATGATTTAATCTATAATTAGGTCTCATTAGTGATGACTTAAATTTAATTCAGCAATGTCCATTTTATCTACAGAAGTACAAAGAAAGAAAAATCTTGAACCTGAGACAACTGAGAACTCAAGAATGGATACAAGTGCTGAAGAGTTAATGGAAAATCTATATTGGAACATTCATGGAGGACATATGTTTCATCTTTACTGTGTCAGTGACTAATATAGTGATAAAATGTGATAAATTTTATTGGCAAAATTAAAAACTCAAAAGTTACTATGCATGTTATGTAAAATTTCTTTCATCATTTCTCTAGTGTTTTACAATAAAAATATATAGGAAAAGGGAAGCTTTTTATTTATATGACAAAATAAATTCAAATAATTGTACATATGTAATGTTTATTGCGTTTTATAAATATTACATAAATAAATACAACATGTAAACACCATGACATCTTTTTAAATTTATTGGATAAAAAGATTTAATTTAAAAAAATATTCTGGCAATTTCTCATATTTCTTGAGTAATTAACCTGCAAGAGAGAAAATTTGTAATTAATATCTCTTTATTTATTTTTCTGTTACAGATGCGGAGGAAGATTTAATAAAATTACAACTTTCTTTCAGGACCCACCTAAACAATAAAGGGACAAACATAGTTCCATGTTTAGGTGTTTGCTCCAATTTTACTAAGTATTAATATCACCTTTTTTGCTTTTCAGATGTTTCTTCCATATGCAGCCTTGTTGGCACACGGTCAAGCCCAAGCCACTCTGCTTCTGCCTTTAATATAAACATAACATTTTACATCCCGTATTTGATATATTTTAGTTTAGTATAAATCAATTTGATCTATTTTGTATGTTATTGTGATATTTAAATGTACCTGATTAATTTAGAATAAAACTATGTTTGTAACTAACCTGCCTGCTTTTTATTATTTTTAATAACCCCATTTGAAAAAAATATTGTTGAAGTACAAAAAAATGCATTTTATGTATTTGTTAAATTACATTTTTATTAAAATCAGTTTGTGTACAGGTATAAAAATGAGTAAAAATGTTTATACATTACGGTTAATTGTAATTTTCAATATTCAGTAAATTTTATTTGATTACATTGTATAGATTGAATATGACAACTAATTTCTGTTAGCACAATTTATGAGTGGGAGACATCTACAGTAGAGAACATGTTGAATTACCTCTGTAGGAGTAGCTTCATCAGTGTCCACTACATCAGGTAGAGCATCAGCATTGTTTGAACCCTCTTCATTACTATTCATACCACCATCTCCCGCATCCACATGGCAAGTTTGATCAGCTTCAGCCAAATCACCATTGTGCATCTCCGAACAATTAATGAGATCGACTTTTCCTTCTTGACTACATCTAGAATTTTCATTCAGATCTGTACCATCTATGTCCACATGAACATGTCCTGGCCACATTTCATACGGGCATGTATTTAGTTGGTGCAATTGAGTTTCACTTGAACTAAACAAATTGAGTGAACCTGCAACATCTTGTAGAATAGATGATTCAGATATTTCACTTGTAAGGTGAGTAGATTCATCACCTTCACTGTTCCCGGAAATAAGGAGTGATAAATTTTCAATGATATCGCTGGATATGTCACAGACTCGCATGCCTTCATACTTCGACAGCAACTCTAGCAGTCTCTTTTTTGATTGCTTGCTGTCTGCTGCACTGCTAAGAATGAGTGTCACCAGTGACTCTAACAACTCAGATGAGCATATCTCTTCGCTTTTTATAAGCAAAAAGCGTACGATTTTGTTATCAATTTGTATTCCGGTTGTGCAATCATTTTGTAGCGAGTGCGAGGTACAATCGTGGAAATTATTTGTTTCTCCAGATGTAGTTGTGACTACTTCGGCTTCACATTCATCCTCATTATCATTATTTTGATTCTCTAAAATAGAACTATATTGGGACAGAACACTTCGAATGGACTGCAGAACTTTTTGCCTTAAAGGATCGGAACTAATCAGTTGCAGCTCTCTAAATAGCTGTATCAGAAAATCTGGATGAGACTCATTAACGCCAATCAAGGTCGTAACTTCGGAATAAACATTTTCTCTTAAAAGGTCAAATAGTTTCGATGTAGCTTTTTCTTGAACTTCACGACTAGTTGATGCTAAATTAGGATTAGGCGTTTCGGATGTGCTTGCTATATTAATGTTACTAGTTTGGGAGAAATCTAGAGAGCAGTTTCTTCTGTTTGTTGAATTCTTGGAGGGCAGTTTAGAAGACGATTTTTTCTTACTGTTCGCAGAATTGTTTAAGTTATTCGAATGCGATTGTATTATTTCGGGAATAGGATTCGTAATGTTAAGGTTTCTGAACGAGTTTGTTGTGCTTTCTTGGCGATTGATGTTTATATTGGATGCGGTATTCTCGTCTACGTTCCTAGAATGGGTCGCTGTACTTCCGTGCGTTTCCGTGTCATTGTTTTGATTTACATTTAAAACATCTGGGGCAGATGAGAATGAGAAAGATCTTTCATATGTGACATTTCTTCGTGAATGTCTATTTGGTATGTCTTCATTGTTTACTTGAGTAGGCGGTTGAGATGCCGGCCCTTGCGAAGAACTTGTTGTATTTGTATTTCTTTTAGGAGTAATAGAAGGTGAAGTAGATGAGGACGCATGAGTTAAGGTGTTATGAGATCTTTCTACTAATGGATGAGGGTTGTGAGCCGATCCTGTACCTAAATGTCCATCCGCATTAGTCTTGCTATTAGCAGAGAGGAGATTTTGACGTGAATAACTGTAACCAATAAGAAGCTTTTGAACAATATGATTCAAAGGAAATTGTCATGTTACGTTATTACACAAAATTCATTTTTATGAGAATATAAGTAAAATTTTAATAAGTTCCATTAATTCCATGCAATAAATATAAACAAAAAAATTCCCTCATATTATAATTAAAAATACATAATCTTTTTTTAATAAGTATGATAATAATAAAAATTATATAATTAATTTTTACGCAATAAATACATGAGACTGAGAGCAAAAGTAAAAGTAATAATAAGAAATTACAATTTGGCAAGTTGAGGTAAAGTTTAAAGTAAAATGTTATAAAATCTAGTTAACTTAGGGTGTTGCTACACCAATTGATCGAACGTCAATCGATGGTGGGAATAGATTAGTCGACGTCGATCGATAGTTTTTACCACTCAGATCTATCGATGGTAGAATGGATTAGTCGATGTCTATCAAGCTGCTTGATTATTCGAGAATCCGCCCCGCTATACCGACCGCTATTTAAAATGTCTAGACGAGTTAAAGCTATCTCTGGCCTTATCTTCTGCGTTTGCATCTCCGTAATATGAATACGAGTATGAGCGTACTGGTCAACAACAATGCGTCCTCTTCTGAATACATTTTGAAAGATACTGATGATGAGCTTATAACCACATCGGTAATTGAACAACATTTTATTAACCACTGTCGATCGATCAGCTAAAGCTCGTCGAAGAATCCATTATAGAGCCTATTAGCGCTGGTGTTCCACAAGTCTGCGTACTATCACCAGCGCTGTTTCTTTTGCATATCAATGATATCTTGCAAACTGGTAACACCCAATGCTATGCGGACGACAGCACTGGTGATGCTTCATACACCACCTGTGCCAATATTTCTCGGGAAAATGTCGCCAAGTACCAGAACAAACTTGTGTCTGTAGTGGAGGCTGCCGAAAAGTCTGGGATTGGGGGCGACTAAATATAATCCAGTTCTCAGAAGACACAAGTTTGCGCGTTTACCGCAATGATTTCAAAAGGAAGGATAGGCCCATCGAAACATTTTACTCATAACTTTTTCATACAAGAAAAAGTAGCGCATCTGTCATAATACAAACGTCATATCAAAACACAACGTAAACAGGGTAGGATTTCGTAGTATAACTATCCTAATTGTACCATTATTTCATAGTTTGTAATATATAGTATCGTAATAATACTAAACGAAAATACCATAATTTTACCTAAAGGTCGACTTGTATTATTATTGGGTCCTCTTACATTTTAATATTACCCTATCGTATCGAGAATTGCTGTAGTGTCAATGAGTACAGCGTTTTTTTTAAAAAAATAAAATTAGAATTAGCTCCTTTCTGGTCAATCGATGCTCGATCGATGCATTTATGTTGCATCCTTAATACAACTACGACGAAGGACTACCACGATAAATACTCTATGCTCCAGAAGCAATCAGTTTGAAAATAGAATTTCAAAATATTTTATGAATCAATTTTTCAGATCCAATTAAGCAGGTATGGTTTCTTTTGTACTCTTTTAGTTTTAGCCTTATTGAATATAAAATATATTAGGTACCAATATTCAAAATTTAACTTACACTAAGTTCTTTAGACAAAAACTTAAACAGAAATAAAAATGAAACCGTCAAAAAACGAAACGTATATATAAACTAGACGCGTGACGCCAAAATCTCGGAAAAAAGAAACATGAAACGTCAAACGTGATATAATTTTTTTAAATAGTATAATTTTATTTTTCATGTGCAATATTTTTGAGGGTCTGAATCCAGCCCTGGCATAATCTTAGTAACGTAACTAAACTAACTGTAAAATGACACTTTAAATTGCGTTTATATAATAATTTAAATATAACAAAATTAATATAAGGTTATTTATCGATGATAAGATATCCCAGGTTTTTTTAAATCTTTGTATCGTTATTTTTGCATTCTTTTACCACGCAACTAGACATTTGTGACAGACAAATCTGTCCTGCGCGCGCACCACTGTTGACCGATTCGCGTTGGCCCTAAACTGTAATTTTAGGGCCAGCGCACTGGTCCGTTTTAGTTGTTCGGTAGGCCCGGTCCTTACGCTAGTAATATATAAGTCAATGGTTTACCGCTAAAAAGAAACCTTTTGTCTTATCTCCTGTTTCAAGGCACTCCCCTTGCTGCCTCAGCTAGCATCAGAATCCTCGGCATCGACATATCGAATAGTGTACAGTTTCGTGGTCACTTGGAAGGAAAGGCCAAATTGGCCTCTAAAAAGCTTGGCGTGATCAGTAGAACAGAACAGTATTTGATGTCGGCGTATCGCTTGCAACATTACAAAGCGTAAGTTCGGCTTCACACGAAATACCGTTCTCATCAGTGGATCGGGGCACCCCATTGCCAACTTCTTCCACTTGACCGCATCCAGTGCAGAGCGGTTCCACTCATCGACGACCGAATTCTTTCTGATCGGCTGAATTCACAGGCGCTGCATAGGGATGTTGCATCCCTTTGCATTTTCTATCGCATCTACCACGGGGAGTGCTCTGAGGAATTGTTCGGATTAATCCCAACCGCCAAATTTCATGAACACACATCGCGTCAAAATTCAAGATTTCACACCACCTGGATGCTTGGCGGGCCACCACTGTGCGTTTTACTAAGAGTTTTCTTACTTGTACAACTTTTCTGTGGGATTGTTTACCATCGGCGATTTTTCCGGACCGATACGACTTAGGGACCTTCAAGAAAAGAGCTTACTCCTTTCTAATAGGCCGGCAACGCACATGCCATTCCCTCGGTGTTGCGGTTGTAAGGCCGGCGGTAATCGCTTACCATCAGGTCAGGAACATGCTTGTTTGCCCCCCCCCCTCCCCCCCGCTTCTATAAAAAAGACGTCGATCACGGCATCGATCAACGTTCAATCGATCGGTGCGGTAACACCCGAATGCTGTATTTACAGTATCATGATACGGTTTCTATGCACTACTGTTTTTGTTCACATTTTGTCTCAGAATAAGGGGTCAAACATTCTAGATCAAGATTGAACTAAAAGTTCAATAAAACAGATAAAACAAAACCGAAGTAAAGAAAATATAATGATGTTAAAAATATTAGCATTAGTTTCTTATACATTTCATTTTTACGTTTGTCTCATTATAACGTGAATGAGCTGAGCAATGATGGGAAATGATATCAAGTTGTTAATTATCAAGCTAAATTGCGTAGTGACACACTCACACAGGGCTCACCTATATTTAAATGTGAACTGCAGTGATAGATACATACATAAAATATAAATACTATATTATACTTAATAAAAAAAATGAAACAATGTTTTCTAAAATCTGAAATAAAAAAATACAGATTACAATATAATATTATAATATAGTACAAGAAGTCAGTATATAGTAATAAGGAAGGGCTTGTTATACCTTCGGAAGTTGTCCCAATAGTTATTAGCGCGGTTACCAGGTGGCACCTGATTGTTGAGAGTGTGCGAGGCTGTTTCAGCCCGCCAACGTTCCTCCAACTACAAAAAATGCAACATGATAATTTTAATTCCGAATTAAAATACTAGTTTGTTACGAATTTTAACACGTTCAGTTAACTTATTTCATATTCCGGTAATTATAAGATACCAAGCAGATTATTACATCAGATTTGATACACCAAAAAATACCCGCGAAGGATTTCTACCAAGGTCGATTCGCAAGGCTATTGAAATGAGAAAAAAACATCGTAATTTCAATAAACAAGGTAGCTGGGTACTACCAGCTGCATGGGATTGGGAAAATTAAATCTCAGTCCAAGCATAGTACTGCAATACTTTAACAGCCCTATTAATAAACACAGACTTGAGCAAGATTAACTTTACTCCTAGTTTAAAGCTTAAAATATATAATTTCAGTATTAATAAACATAGAGTAAAGAGGGAGTAAACTAATCCGAATCTACTCTCGGAATAAAAGTTAATCTTTGGCGGTACCTAGTTTAACGACTGAGTAAGCATAGACTAGTCGCGTATTTTGACATTTTGTAAAACTTTACGTTTACGCGCGTTGTTACCCGTGTTAAATTCATAAGTTGTAAGCACTAGTAACAAAATAACATAATGGATTAAAATGCCAAGAAGTGATGTGGAGCAGAACAAAGTGATTGCAGGTTTTTATTCATTATGTGGATTTAGACAAGTGATTGGGGCTATTGATTGCTACATATTCTAATCCCGAAAGTCGCTGGAAACATCGGATAATACTACATAAACAGGAAAGGATACAGTTCAATAAATGTACAAGTAAGTTTTATAGCACCTAGCTAGCCCATCTTTGCCGTATAGGTACTTAGTTATTTTCTCAGATTCAATACAATCATCTCAATTTATTACTTCATATTAAAGAAGTTATGAGTGCTTTGTTCCAGGTTGTGTCAAATGCAAATTTAGAGTTCATGGATACAGTGGCACATTGGCAAGGCAGCACACATGACTTAAGAATATTTTATTATCGTCGCATTAAAACAAATGTTTGAGCAGTCAGAATTTAAAGGCAGACTTCTCCGAGATTCTGGTTATGCTTGTACTTCTTATTTGTACACTCCTGGTCCCGTTACACTGTAGAACAATGCTTTGGAGGGAAGCAAAGGTTTCGGTGTTTACTGCGAGGACTAAATACTAAATAAGAGCATACAAAACAATACATACATTGCAATAGAAAAGCAATATCTGCTTGAGGATGTAGTATAAGGAGATGATGAAAATATATCAGTCACACAATTAGTAAATAACTGCGTTAGAGGAAATTCTGTTCGGGCAGCATTTATTAACGATTTTTTAAATAAATACAATAATTACATGTACAAAAGATTTTATTTATCCCCAAAAACCAAAACAAAAATGGTTATTTAATTAAGCTTGGAATAAGCAATTTTTATTAATAAGGCAGTAAGATTTCCATTCCGACATTGAATCGGACCAACTCCGTCAGACTAATCCTTCAGAATAATATTTTTTTTGACTCTCAAAACCAGTTTCTGTGAACTAAGGTATGAAACCTACGCTGTATTAATAACAGCGCTATGGAATAATTATTTAAAAAAACACAGTATTTTAAAATCAACAGATAGATATATAGGTTTTCGAATAAATTGGTAAATAAGGTAGAAATCTTTTAAAACAAATTTTACAAATGAAATAGTTCTGTAACAGCGCCACACGGTCTGTCAAGTACTACATCGACCTGCAGATCCGACGAAGTTTTAATAATAAAGTAGCATAATAGCGGAAAGTCGTCATTTGAAGTAAATTCTCTTAAATTATGTCCTCGTTATCCTCGTATTATCTTAAACTCTCGTAATTTAGTAACGAAACTCATAATAAAAATTTTAGAAATTTAGTTGTATAATTGTTATAAATAATATTTAAAAGAATTGTTCTGAGGGGTCTACAAATGTAAAATGATGTGTTAATCATGTGTTGGGCTGAGAGTCTTCACAGATTAAATTGAAGGTAGTCGTGTTTAATTATGACATTGGAATGTCATACAAATCAGTCCCACTGGGACTATGCTACAAATTACCCGAAACGTCAACAATGAGATAAAATTCGTAAAATAACTATTGCATTCAATTTAAAAATGTTGCTTATTAATTTTATTTTTTCTCTGCTCAAAAATAGTTAATTATAAACATAATTACTTAACATTTTACGGAAACGATTTCTTACATGTACGCGATTACTACACATTTAATAAAACTAATTTATTATTTATTTATTACTAAGGATTTTATGGCTTTTATATTAACTGGAGATAAATGGGTTTTGTGCTGACATTTAGTCCCTTCGGCTTGCAGTGTTATGCTGCTATTTTAAGTTGATATTCTGCGAGCGTCGTCCTTCTCCAATCAAACTGATCCAGCCGTGCTGCAGCATGGTTAAACACGTAAAGAATCACATATTTCAAGGTATCGGTTCAAGACCGAAATAACTTGCATACATGGTTCACGTATCAGACAAGAAACTAAATAATATATTCAGAAACAATCAATTCTACATACTGAAATGGTTTTAGTCTGTCCTAATACATTTGCGAGAAGGTTCTAATTCAATAGAAACATGATAGGAGTAATTACTTATTAACTTCAGATGGCATTTTAATTTTAACTTTAACTTCTCGATGTAATCAGGATTATATAAACAATTTAACAAACATATGTTAATATAATGATTTCTTATATTTACGCGAACACTACACATTGAAATAATACTAGTTTTTACGGAATTTATCGCGTATATTTAACTTTTTAAATACCAGACGTTTCGAACGCTTTACAGCAATAACGCTCCCATAAATCCAAGATTCTATAAGCGGTACGTAGACGACACTTTCACAATTCTACCTTTAGATAAAGTAACTGCATTTTTAGACCATCTTAACTCTATAAATTCTAAAATTCAGTTCACAATGGAGTTAGAGGCAAACAATTCCTTAGCTTTTCTAGATGTGTTAGTAATTACGAATCCTGATAACACCTTGAGCCATACTGTGTATAGAAAAAAGACCCATACAGATAGATATTTAAACGGTGATTCTCACCACCATCCTTCACAGTTAGCTACCGTGGGTAAATCTTTGTTTCAGAGAGCACGAGGGATCTGTGACAGTAAACACCTGGCTGCAGAGCTCCACCATGTCAAGCAAGTTTTGCATGACAACAAGCTTCGAGTCCCGCGCCTACGTCACAGTGAACGAGTGAAGCCGGCCACAGTCGAGCGTGTACCTGCTGTACTGCCATATGTTAGAGGAGTCACTGACAAGATTGGCTACATCTTGAAGCGCGCTTCTATCAAAACATACTTAAAGACGCTGAAGAAGATTGGTCAGTTTTTACCATCAGTCAAGTGTAATGTCCCTCTGCAAGATACAGGAGTGTACAAGCTTGATTGTGAATGTGGTCTCTCCTACATAGGACAAACTAAAAGATCAATAAAAACCCGCGTTAAAGAACATATAGCTGATGTGAAGAATCGAAGCTCCGGGAAGTCTGCAGTCTGTGAACACGTACAGGATCGCCCCCGTCACTACATCAGATTTGATAGACCGCAAATCCTCTCTAAAGAACACCGATTCCTTCCAAGGATGATTCGCGAGGCTATTGAAATCAAAAAACATCCTAATTTCAATAGAGAAGATGGCTGGGTGCTACCATCTGCTTGGGATCCTATAATAAATAAAATTAAATCCCAACCCAAGCATACAACTGCAAGACTTCAAGATACCATAAGTTCATACTGCATAGATCGGAACAAAAGTTAAATTTTAATCTATGGGAACCGCGGTTAACTATGACATATGGACGTTGAGCATCTCAGTCCCGCCCGTGACCATGAGTGCTGTAAAGCGTTCGAAACGTCGGGTATTTAAAAAGTTAAATATACGCGATAAATTCCGTAAAAACTAGTATTATTTCAAACATATGTTAATCTTATTATTTTTTAAACAGTAAAAAGTTATTTAGATTATGTTTGTAGAATGAATGGTTCGGTTAGACCAGGGTAAGACTACACACTCACAAAATACCAGCGTGAAATAGCAGCTTAATGCTACCTGTTTCGTATGGTCAGTGAAGAGAACCTGATACCCTTTTTTACAGGAAATAAGGTATTCCATCTTAGACAAGTTCAAGTTTCAAAGGTTCAAGTTTTGTCAAACTTGTTTAGTCATTGAGAAAATGGAATTGACTCGAGAAAATTCAAGAGCGATGATTTATTATGACTTTCGAAGTGGTTTAACACAAAAACAGTGTGTTGACCGGATGATTTCTGCATTTAGTGATGAAGCCCCATCCAAAACCACAATTTATCGCTGGTTTGCTGAATTTCAACGTGGACGTGTCACGCTCAGTGATGATCCCCGTCAAGGTCGTCCAAAAACTGCAGTCACCCAAGAAAACGTTGATGCTGTGCGTAAGCTGATTGAGGAAGATCGACATGCGACATACCGCGAAATTCAGGCAACTTTAGACATTGGCATGAGTCAAATACAAATAATCTTGCATGAACATTTAGGTGTAAAAAGTTGTTTTCCCGATGAATACCGCATTCGCTCTGTGAAGAGGAAAAAGCGGCTCGCGTTACTTGGTGCGTCAGAACTCTCGAAAGATTCCACGCAGAATCCTCAAATGCTGTATACAACATCGTATCAGGTGACGAATCCTGGATATACGCGTACGAACCCGAAACAAAAAACCAGTCACGAGTTTGGGTGTTCGAAAATGAGTTAAAGCCAATAAAAATTGTTCGTTCACGGAGTGTTGCAAAAAAAATGGTGACCACGTTTGTCTCCAAAACCGGCCATGTTACGACTATTCCTCTTGAGGGACAAAGAACGGTTAATGCAGAATGGTATGCTAGCATTAGTTTGCCACAGGTCGTTTCTGAACTCCGTAAAGAGAACAGCAACCGCCGCATCATTCTCTATCACGACAATGCGAGTTCTCACACCACACACAGAACAAAATAGTTTTTAGAGCAAGAAAACATAGAATTATTAGACCATCCGCCGTACAGCCCCGACCTAAGCCCTAATAATTTCTATACTTTCCCTAAAATAAAGAATAAATTGCGTGGACAGAGATTTTCATCACCTGAAGAAGCTGTAGACGCCTACAAAACGGCCATTTTGGAGACCCCAACTTCCGAATGGAATGGTTGCTTCAATGATTGGTTCCATCGTATGGAAAAATGTGTCAAATTTCGCGGAGAATACTTCGAAAAGCAATAAATACATTTTTAAATAGTAATGTTGTGTCACTTCCTTGAGTACCGAAATTTTCAGTGCCGCCCTCGTATCAATGACAAAGTGGGCGAAACTTATCGAGCATATTATGTTTTCAGTTCTGTGCTGAAAATTTCCCCCAAAATTCAGCATTTTATAAAATAAAAGGAATCTCCGCTGGTTTCCGGCCTAACAACCAATAGATTGTTATCGGAGTGTTTGAATTTTGAGATCGAACATAATTGGGAAGTAAAAGTAGTAGGTCTCGCAACACTGCCTTTCAGTACAACCGTCACTCAAAAACCTTTCTTCTAGAGCAAAGCAAAGGAGAAAAAATGTATTAGATCTCATCTTAAGTTTTTCTTCCCTGTGAATTTTCGCGGAGTTAGCTAACACAAAATCGATTCTTGTCCATTTTGCTATCAATCACAAAGAACCAATTATTAACTTCAATTATTATACTATACATATTAAGATAACGTAACGTAACTGTCAATTGAACATTTTTATGTGAAAATACTGCTTACCTTTCTTAACACCTTTCACAACTTGTAATGAATTATTTAGTGCTTAAATTGTTATCACTACATCTTCAGCACATTAGGAAACAGTCAATTTTGGAACCACAATGATTTACATTTTTAGTAGTTATTTATGATTGTAAATTTACAAGCGATATTTACAATTTCGCCAAAACAATTAGATGCATGACAGGAATACGTTTTTGGCGCCCGCATCCTGTCTGTATTCCCCTAGTGACCAATCACTGTTGCTTTTTTTCTTTCCTAATTCTAATGACATATTAGTTGTTACTAATGTGCCTAATTGTTTTGGTCACATAGTTATATAGGTTGTTAGTGTAAACACCGTTATCCTTGAAACCAGTGGTTTGGTTTCACATATAGAACGTAAATTCAATGAAAAATAACAACTTTTTTTTTTAGTAAAATTTCAATTTTTGCCTATTCTATGCCAGGTTAAAAGTATGAAGGAAAAGTTACATCACAGGTTATGTGTACCTATTGTGTTTTTATTGGAATGCTGTGTAGGTAGCCAGCGCGGGCGGTGATCTTTACAGTGATTACGTCACTCAGCGCATAGGGTATCCATGAATTTACGGACGGTGTCGGACAGAAACTTTTTAAATTGTATGAATGAAAATAGCGTTTTTTTTTAAAATTCGGATTAATATTTTTATATTAAAGCCAACTATGCCAACCTATGGTTTTAGTGACAACGGTGTTTACACATACACCTTGTATACTTATATTTCTATATTCACTGATTTATGGCACAAACGCCACTCAATTTTAGTATGTTGTAAGTTTCAGCAGCACTTAAGCAGCGGTTGAGTATTTAGACATTAAAGTGATAAACACAGCATGAAACTTAACGGCATCTTAAGATTGAATAGCGTTTGAGTATTTGGACATTAAACACTCACATGACTCAGCTGTTCCCTAAACTGGTGTATTTCCCTCTGCTGCATTATGAGTTGCTGCCAACACCACGCGCCCCAAAAACTACACCCACAGCCACAACCTCCCACCATTCCTATAATCATGAATATTAAATGTTAATTTTATTGTTCAATACGCATATTCAACATTGATTTTTTTTATAACGGAGCTTTTATTTTTTTAACGAATACGATTTATTCATTTTGTATCTAATAAAATAAGATTAAAATTTGATGATGAATGAAACAATAGTAAAAATAAGAAAATGAACTATGAAATATAATTTGGAAAGGAGATTTTTCTATGTACTAACTTTCTAGAGAATTGCAGCTTACTTTTAAGCAACATACGTCACAGTAGTGCGTTATTTATAATAAGATATTTCTAATATCTTATTATAAATATTTCTATGTAACAAAAAGTAGCAGAAGTAGTTTGTATGTATTTATATTGATATATATACTATCCAACATGCTATAGCGGCTTAAACACTCTTACATAATTATGTTATTATTGACCGAATTTTATTACCCTAGAACATATTGTTCTCACTAGATAAAAAAAAAATTACCATACGGCATCATCATGTTGAAAGGCATAGTTGGTGGGCAAGACATCATCGGTGTTCCTAAAAAGACGCTCCATAGTTTGCGAGTGACTGTTCTGAGTAAACTGGTTCGTGCGAATATCCTGTGAAAATCCATATATTTTGTAATTATACAATTTTTTTATAACTAATTGATTTTTAATAAAATTGCTAAATGGGAGAAGGTTAGTTAGCAAACAGGAAGACAAACATATTGAATTAAAATTTCTGTACATACTACATACACACTTTTGTAATAAAAGCAAAAAAAGAAAACATTATTGTACAAAGGCACTGCACACTTCATATGATTTATTTCTTCCAACAGGGTTGATAATGGACCATTTAGAATATATACATATCATTATCATCAGTGCAGCTAGTTATAAGTCCATTGCTGAATATAGGCATCCCCCATTTATCATCGCTTCATGTAGTGAAGGGTCGCCGGCCACTTGCGAACCTTTCTTCCCTGTTGATTGTCAGTTTTTCAAACATATAGTTTGACCGGCCTATTGTCTTTTCATACAATATACACCTAAAAATACGTGGTAAAGCCACACTGCAGCTGCGTTATGCACAAATGGATCAGCCCGACCAGGGTAGCATCACGCTCTCAAAGAATACCAGCGTTAAATAGCAGCTTAATACTGTTGTGAGCGTTGTGAACAAGAAACCTTTCTTACTAGAAATGATGCATACCATCTTAATCCTCAGGTGTGACATACATTTAGATAAATGTAGATGTCTATGGGCCACAGCATCCACTTACCCATCAGTGGACCATGTGTGCTTGTTCGTCACCGTTATTCAATAAATAAAACCGGACTCGAAAACTAATAATTTGGGCATTTGTACGAATGTTACTTTGAATAAAACTATTATTTACGGATTTTATCGCGTTTAATTACTTTAATTTATTTTTATTATTATCCCGACGTTTCGGGTGCTTTACAGCGCCAATGGTCACGGGGGGACTGAGATGTTTGACGTCCCAATGTCATAGTTAGTCCGGCTACCTTCAGTTTTTTTAATATTAATTTTTGGTCCGATTTACGCAAAACGAGCTTATAGTATCATGAAGTCTTGCAGTGGTATGCTTGGGTTTGGGTTTAATTTTGTTAATTATAGGATCCCAAGCAGATGGTAGCACCCAACCATCTTCTCTATTGAAATTTGGATGTTTTTTAATTTCAATAGCCTCGCTTATCATCCTTGGTAGGAATCGGTGTTCTTTTGCGAGAATTTGTGGTTTATCAAATCTAATGTAATGGTGGGGACGATCTTGAACATGTTCGCAGACTGCAGACTTCCCGGAGCGTCGGTGCTTCGAAGTCTGCAGTCTGCGAACATGTTCAAGATCGTCCCCACCATTACATTAGATTTGATAAACCACAAATTCTCGCAAAAGAACACCGATTCCTACCAAGGATGATACGCGAGGCTATTGAAATTAAAAAACATCCAAATTTCAATAGAGAAGAAAGCTGGGTGCTACCATCTGCTTGGGATCCTATAATTAACAAAATTAAACCCAAACCCAAGCATACCACTGCAAGACTTCATGATACTATAAGCTCGTTTTGCGTAAATCGGACCAAAAATTAATATTAAAAAACTGAAGGTAGCCGGACTAACTATGACATTGGGACGTCAAACATCTCAGTCCCCCCCGTGACCATGGGCGCTGTAAAGCACCCGAAACGTCGGGATAATAATAAAAATAAATTAAAGTAATTAAACGCGATAAAATCCGTAAATAATAGTTTTATTCAATGTGTAGTGTTCGCGAATGTTACTTATAAATGATATCGACTGAAATCTACTGTCCTGAATTGTTAGAACATGCGTAGTAGCGGCTTCCTTCACGCCGTACAAGATATACTTCTTTATACGATTTTCCCTTTCACCCTACGAACTATGGTCAAAATTAGGTTTTTAACCAACTTCAAATAGGAGGAGGTATTCAATTCGACTGTATGTTATTTTTTATGTGTATTACCTCAGAACTTTTTTCTGAGAGAACCGATTTCGAAAATTATTTTTTTATTTGAAAACTGTTGTTTCTCGTGTATTCCAATATAAATTTGACCAATATCTGACCAATAGTGTTTTAAGTCATACTTAATAATGCGTCTTTAATTGAGGTCGAATACATTGATGATGTTCTCAGTCTATTTATATTGAGGTCGGTTGTACAAATATTATTTTACCACTTGCTACTAGAATATTTAGAACTTACAATATTAAGGTGCTGAGTAAACACTTCATTGGCTCTTATTGCCAGTGCATTTTAAATTTAAATTCATATTACATATCATCTAAAAATCTATGAAATTTTTTGTTTTAGTAAATGGAAGAATGGTTATATTAAGGTTTATTATATGTTCTTTTAAGGTCTCTAATAAAAATTAAAAACATTTCGTAATTTTTTGTTTTAAATAAAAATGTTAATTTATTAAGCGCCGTAGAAAAGTAGTACGATAAAAAAACTTAATTTCTGCTTATAAAACAATTAATTTTAGTTAAAATTGAAAAAAATCTTATAAAATCTAAGTACTTATTAATAATCAGCGCTGCCACCTCTTACATTAAATTACAAATAGACATCGATTGTCCATACTTATAATTAAATTGTCAATGTCTTGCTGCGGTATGAGGGTGTTCACTGCGGTATGCCCTGTTCTTTGCAAGTGTTCGCAAAGTTGTTGTTCCGTCGTCCAATTTGGCGGGGAATCTCAAAAAAATTTTTGGTTGTATACATGTTCCAGGCACGCTCGATTGGATTAAAGTCGTGCGACTGTGCAGACCAATCTAAAAATCTAAAACTTGAATATTGTGGTCTCGGAGAGCGGCCGACACCAGCCGCAACGTAGGGTGTTTTTGTAAAGCTGTAGGCGCGAAGGGAGAACATGCCCCGCACGTTGTGGCAAATCGTAACATATATTTAGTAAGTATATCTTGTTTTCAATCCCAAATTAGTTTCTCTAGCGCTAGTTTTAACTAAAGCTCGGAGTGACAACTTGTTTTATCTAAAAATCAAATATATCAGTCGTCAAACGTTGGACAATCTGAAACTTGGGGATGGAATTACAGCTCCCGTGGTAGCTACAACACCTTAGCTACGTGGATTCAAAGTGCCGCCGTTTGACGGTACTTCTTCCTGGTCAGCCTACAAATCCAATTCGAGGCTGACATGGAGGCGAACGGCTGGAATAAAAGTCAGGCCATGACTGCACTCACGCTAGCATTGCGCGACAAAGCCTTCACTGTTCTGGAAGCTCTAGGTAAGAAAATGACTTACGAGCAGTTCCTTGAGGCATTGGAGGCGAGATACGGCGACGCTCACCTGGAACACGTCTTTCGTGTGCAGCTTAAGATCTAATAAAATCTCTAAGTTTCTCTAGTGCTAGTTTTAACTAAAGCTCGGAGTGACAACTAGTTTTATATGAAAATTAAATATATCTGTAAATTCTGGCTTTGACTGGTCTTTCTAGTTTTCACAAAGGCATTTAGTAAAAACTATTTTTAACTAGGAAAAACACGTTCTATCTAAAAACGGGTTTAAACTGTAACATATATAAAAAAAATTATATAGAAGAGTGGCAAACGAGCCTACGGTTCACCTGATGTTAAGTGACTACCGCAGCCCATGAACATCCGCAACATCAGAGGAATTGCAGGTGCGTTGCCGGCCCTTTAGAAAGGAGTTAGCTCTTTTGTTGAAGGTCCCCAGGTCGTATCGGTCCAGAAAATCGCCGGTGGTAAACTATTCCACAGAGAGGTCGTACGCAGAAGAAAACTCCTTGTGAAACGTACTGTGGTGGTCCGCCAAGCATCCAGATGGTGGGGATGGTATCGGGAGGTTTGCCGCGTAGTGCGTTCATGAAATTTAACGGCTGGAATTAATCCGAACAATTCCTTACAGCACTCCCCGTGATAGATGCGATAAAATACGCAAAGAGATGTAACATCTCTTCGCAGCGCCAGTGAATCGAGTCGACGATTCGAGCCGCTCTGCGCTGGATGCGGGCAAGTGGAAGGAGCTGCTACTGGGGAGCCCCAGCCCAGAGATGGGAACAGTATTCCATGTGCGGCCGAAACTGCACCTTGTAAAGTTGCAGGCCGTGTGCCGACATGAAATACTGTCCCGCTCTGCTGAGCACGCCAAGCTTTTTAGAGGCCAATTTGGCCTTCACTTCCAAGTGACCACGAAACTGCACATCACTCGATATGTCGACGTCGAGGATTCCGATACTGGCTGAGGCAACAAGGGGAATGCCTTGAAACTGAGGAGATACGACAAAGGGGTTCTTTTTAGCGGTAAACGCGTAAACTTGTGTCATCTGAGGATTAAACTGGACCAGATTTAGTCGCCGCCAATCCGAGACTTTATTCAGCAAAGACTCGACTTCAGACACAAGTTTAAATATATGAAACCATCAACGCCGACAAATAGTCAGGCACTTTACGCCGTTTGATAGAAGCAATAAAAGAAAAGAGAAGAGGAAAGCTGATCAAGGGAGTGATGCTTCTCCATGACAACGCACCAGTTCACATGCCGCGGCTCCCCAAGGCACCTAGTGTACTTTTTATTCCCAAACTTAAAAAAAAGACCTTCGGAGAAAGCGATTTGCTGATGATAGTGAACTGAAGTCCTCTGTAAATAAGCATTTTTCAGACCAAGACGAAGAATATTTTTCAAGGGAATAGAAAAGGTTTTTTCACGAACAAGTAAATGCATGCAAATTGCAGTCATGGGAGACTATATTGAAAAGTAAAAAATATTTCATAGTTTTATCTTTTTTCTAACATACCCATACCGAGAATACATTGAACGTCCCTCGTGTGTGTTGCAAATAGTTTAAAAATTGGGCTAAATTCATAATTTTGGATAACTTAGGTAATTAAATAACTAGATGCTTTTTGAGTTTATTTACAAGTGTCAAGATCAGTATTAAAGCTGAACGCATATTTGTCCGCACCGTACGCGTCGTACACGCCGAATTTTGAGGATGGCACACCTGTACATACGCATCGTACGCATTTATTTTGTATTGGCAACAACTTTTACAGTTTTTCCAATCACTGGTGTGAAACGGTACAGTGACTTGGTACAGTGATTAATCGCTCGGATCGCTATGGAAAAAAAATGTAATAGCCTGCTTAATGGCAGAGGAAGAAAAAAATTAAATTCAAAGAGAAAAAGTAAAGAAGATTCTGGATTCATAATATTAATTTAAAAACGCAGTTCTATGAAGAATATTATACTTTATTTAAAGACTTATTTGATGTTGATGAATGATTTTTCAAATATTTGCATTTAACATACAAGAAATTTCAAGAATTGCTACATATTATACTAAACCATATCTCTCTATGGAAAAACTCAAGATTTAGAAGGCCAAATGAACCAGAGGAGACTTGTTGTGTTTGAGGGAAGAATTTTTATTGATAATTAATTAATCACGTATAATTTAGTTTTGGATTAAAATTAATTATCAATTTTTATTGTATTTAAATTATTTTGTCGCTACGTATTTATATTGATAATCAGTGCAAATAAATTTAATCCGGGAACCGAGCTGATCGTTTGCCGTAGATGTTATTAGAACGAGTAGCATAAAACCAATTTTGTGCGACTGCTCGCGGGTATATGGAATGTTGATTTTTTTTAATAATATTTTCATTAAAGAACTTTTCTTTGAGTAGGCTATATTTTCATTTTGTTTAAATTATTAATTATACTTTGAAATATAACTGAATAATTTTATGTTACTTTAATTTTTAGATATTATAATAGTGTGTATGTAGTCATAACGTTGTTTCTGCTTTATTTAATTGATTAATCACATCATTTTCATGCAAATTTAGTTAGGAGGGCTCTATTGAAATTATAATTTTATTTAAACGTTTGTCTTAACACATATCCTTATCAATTATAGAATATAATAGAATTATTTTTATTCAATATTGAATACAATATATTCCTATTAAAATCATTTTTTACTTTTACTAATGGTTTGGAAAAAACCTCTGTCCTCGGTAGAACAAGCAAGAAACCCAGTGGTACTTTTTTTTAAATAAAATTAATTTACAATATATTATTTTATACAATTAGTACGAAAACATTTAGAAACAGAATGGTGGCGATCACCTTACCTCAGTCCTTGGGGATTATTATTAATAATGTACTCTTTAGTAGTATAATAACCTTTACTAAACAATTTTTGCTTAAGAAAAATCTTAAGCTTTTTGATAGATAAGGCGTGCATATTTTCTGGGACATTGTTGTTAAATCGTATACATTTCCCATGAAGGAATTACTGACTCTTAGAAGTCAAGATACTGATATAACTAACTTCTATTTACGAGCGTTTCTTTCGAGTAGTTGCGAGTGCAAGAGACAGCAAGTCTAAGCGTGTTTACATCGACTCACTACAGGTCTCACTGCTTATCCGGTCTAGTTTCGTATATCTTCCAAAAAGCAAACTCGATTTAAAATGGGAATACAATGAAATGGGAACACAGAGTAATTCATTATTGATGAGCATCTGTCTTTATAGAATGCATTAGTTACATCCCATATTACGGGCCAATTATTTCGCGATCCATATCGATGATCATCTTCGCACTGAAAGGAAAGTAGATTATTATGACTATGTTTTATATAATGATCAAAAATTTGAAGTTTTATTTATACTCTCTTCAATCCTTTAATTATGGGGTTATATGGCATATGGGGTACAATACCTAACAAAGGATATGAGAAATAAATTCTACCGCCGCGTTTCCACCTGCAACAAAACTCTAACCTGACATTGCCATTGCGACATCTATAGCTCTTGTATATAAATTACCTCTGTGTTAAGTTCCGATAGTATGATTCGCGAGCTCCTCGCGAGATATTTATTGAAAGAATTTATACGATGCGTGAACAATATTGCAACAAACTTCAAGACTTCCGCGAGTGTTTTTGCAGTTGAAACGCGGCCTAAGAACAATCGCTTCAAGCATGATACACATTATTATAAATCGCTTCACTAAGCTCACTAAGATAATATAGATAATATTACAATAAAATATTATATTAAAATAAAATTATAAGATAATATTATAATTTCCCTATATAATTTCCTAATTACAATTTACCTTCATCCCAAGATTAATTTTTAATTACATATTCAACTGATTACCTGGTTTGATTTGGTGCCGCTCCAGCATTGAGGTGGGAACTGACCATACGGTATATTAATCGGGTTGTCACCTAC